CCGGTACCTGTACTTTATCGCTTTTTTCCTTTTTTTTTTTGGGTCATCAGGTTTTTGACACCTTGCTAGGCGACTGGTGGTACTCGGATATTGCCATATCCTAAAAGTGGTACAGTGGGTGAAAAGGTTGAAAAGCCCTGCTCTAGAGCCCCTTTGGTGGAGGGGCAAAGACATCTGGCTAGCAATAGCATTTAGACTTATATGCCACTTCACAGTGCTTTACACCCCTCTCTAAGCGGTTACAGAGTCAGCCTATTGCCCCCAACAATCTGGGTCCTCATTTTGCCGACTTCAGAAAGATGGAAGGCTGAGTCAACCTTGAGCCGGTGAGACTCAAAGTGTCAAACTGCAGGCAGCCGGCAGTCAGCAGAAGTCACCTGCAGTACTGCATTCTAACCACTGCGCCATCACGACTAGAACCAGGAGACTGTGAGTTCTAGTCCTGCCTTAGGCAGAAGGATAAATGGGCCAAGTTATTTTTTTACGGACATAGGAAAGAGGCAAGGGTAAACCACTTTTGAAAAACCTTGCCAAGAAAACTGCAGAGACTAGTCCGGGAGTCAACAATGACTTGAAGGCTCCAAAGACAAGCAAACAGAAATCCTCCACAACCTGCAGTATAAACATATTTCTCTTTATCAGGGTTTAGCTTGCTGCGATGTCCAGTTCAGATGTGGGGTTAAGCAGCAAAAACATCCCCAAACAATGAAGTCCAAAAGGTAACCTTCCCATAGGGTAACCTTGCCTGAGCAGGGGGTTGGACTAGATGACCTCCAAGGTCCCCATCATCATCATCATCATCATAATGATAAAGTTGGAAGGGACCTTGGAGATCATCTAGTCTAACTCCCTGCTCAGGCAGGAAACCCTATGCCATTTCAGACAAATGGCTGTCCAGTCTCTTCTTAAAAACTTCCAGTGTTGGAGCATTCACCGCTTCTGGAGGCAGGTTGTTCCACTGGTTAATTGTTCTCACTGTCAGGAAGTTTCTCCTTAGTTCTAGGTTGCTTCTCTCTTTGGTTAGTTTCCACCCGTTGCTTCTCGTCCTGCCTTCAGGCACCTTGGAAAATAGCTTGACTCCCTCTTCTTTGTGGCAGCCCCTGAGATATTGGAACACTGCTATCATGTCCCCCCTTGTCCTTCTCTTCGTTAAATCATCATCATCATCATCATCATCATCATCATCATCATCATCATCATCATCATCATCATCATCATCATCATCATTATTATTATTATTATTATTATTATTATTATTATTATTATTATTATTATTTTCTTCTGTCCTTGAAAGAAGGAGGATATTTCATCTTCCATTATTCCTACCCAGCGTCTGCAATAAGGTTGGAAGAAACTCCGAGATGAGCTCTCTTCCCTTGTTCCCTCTCAATCCCTTGACTTGGTTGCCCTCTAGGTTCCACCACCGGCCCACCCAAAACTCTCCCACCCGAATTCTACCCGCCTGGCTTCGACTCTGCCAGCTTCATTGGAGGGATCGTCCTGGTGCTCAGCATCCAAGCCGTCGCCTTCTTTGTGGTGAAGTTCCTCCGGTCAAAGGACAACACTTATCAGACACTGTAAGTTTCCTATGGACCGCTGGGGGTGCCAAGGGAATGCAGAAAGGAAATGCTCGGCTTTTCAGCTAGCCAGGTTTCAGAAGGTGGGATGTCAGGCTTTGAGGGTGAAGGCTCGTTCTCCGAGCTTGTGGGTTGGTTTCCGAACGTTTCGTTACCAGGCTAGGTAACCTCTTTAGCAGTGTTCAGGGGATGTCAGTCAGTGCCCTTCTGTTTATAAGGGCTTCAGGTGTGGGTTGGTCCAGTAAGGGTCTTGTGATGAGTCATCAGAGAGAGGCTTGTGATGGGTCTTGCGATGGAGAGGTTACTTCAGGTCAGGGTTGTTGGAGGGTGTGAATTATCACTGGGTCAGGTGTGAGTCATCCCTGAGAGCAGGAGTCTTCAAACTTGGCAACTTTAAGACTTGTGGACTTCAACTCCCAGAATTCCTCAGCCAGCTCTGGCTGGCTGAGGAATTCTGGGAGTTGAAATCCACATGTCTTAAAGTTGCCAAGTTTGAAGACCCCTGCTTGAGAGGCTCTCAGATGACTCATCCCAAGACCCTCACTCAACACACCCACATCTTATAAACAGAAGAACTCTGACACTGATATCCCCTAAACCAGGGGTGTCAAACTCGCCATGTGACGTATTGCGACGTATCATGACTTTTTCCCCCTGCTTGAGTGGGGGGGCTGGACTAGAAGACCTCCAAGGTCCCTTCCAGCTTCTATTCTGTTCTGTTCCGTTCCGTCCCATCCCATCCCATCCCATCCTATCCTATTCTCTAGTCTAGTCTACATTCTGTTCTGTTCTGTTCCATTCCGTCCCATTCCATCCTATCCTATCCTATCCTATTCTCTAGTCTAGTTTAGTCTCTATTCTATTCTATTCTATTCTATTCTATTCTATTCTATTCTATTCTATTCTATTCTAGTTTAGTCTATATCCTATCCTATCCTATCCCCGGACCTTGACTCCTGATTTGTTTTGCTTTTAATTCTCCATCTTTGCTGCACTTCCCTTCCAGCCTCCTTAAGTGGGTGACTTTGCTGCATAGGCAGCCCAGCCAAATAATTCTGGACACTGAAATCCTTCATAACTAACTGGCACAATTGAGACCATACGCAAATCTTCTCCAGCTTCTAAATGAGGCGCATGGCCCATTTGTGCTTAATGGGTTATTGAATCATTGCAGGCTTACCTCAGAAGGAGTTTGTCTGACGTTCCTGCAGGAAGGAAGCTAACTAGTGGCATAGGATTAATGATTATGGAACATCCCAGCCTGTCCCAGTGTAGCCTTTGCAATAAATAAGGTAATCCAGCCACAGGGGATGGTCCCTCTTCAGAGCTGGTGGTTGAATTGTGTTGGATCAACAGCGGGCAGCAATGATGAATGCTGAAGTCCAGTCATTTCTGGAGCATCAGAGACAGCCTCAACTGTGACTTGAGATCATTCACATTCCAAGAGGAAGAGTGACTGTCTTGTTGTTCAAACCCTACACAAGGCAAATATTTCACAAATTGAATATTAATCCTTAAAATATAAAATAGGGGGAGGGACAATTCTAACAAACTTCCCTACAATGTGACCACTTAAGAGCTCTTGAAACCTTTCTCTCCTTTCACAGGTAATGGAAATTATAGTCCTCTACTGTCTGTCTCTTTTTACCCTCTGGAATTTTAACTTACTCTTTTCAAAATAACTTGATCTGTTATTTCAGTGTCTTCTCCTAACCCAGGGGTAGGCAACCCAAAACACTCAAAGAGCCACTTGGACCTGTTTCTCACCGAAAACAAAACACTGGGAGCTGCAAAACCCTTTTGATATCTAAAAGGAAGATAACACTGCATATATCAGTGGTGGCGAACCTATGGCACGCGTGCCAGAGGCGGCACTCGGAGCCCTCTCTGTGGGCACACGTGCTGTTGCCCCAGCCTTGCCTCCCCCCGCGACCCCCCTCCTCACCAGCAGCCCCCCTGGAGGAGAGTTGTCCCCGAGCGTGGCCCATGCAGAGCAGAGCAGAGCAGAGCAGCCAAGGACATGGCAGCCAGGCAGCGTGGACAAGACTTTGCCTCACACCCCATCACGCAGTTGATGCTGCGGGGTGCGGGCAGACGGCATGGCCGCCACTGGTGCTGCTGGGCTGCCTGGGCGATCTGCGGTGGGCCCTGGAGCCGGTGATGGCCCTGCAGGCAGGCAGAGCAGGGGACAGGGTGGGGGTGGAGCGGGAGCGGGGCCAGTTTTTGGGCACTCGGTCTCTAAAAGGTTCGCCATCACTGGCATATATCCTTTTTTACCTTTAGGATATGTTATCTTCATTTTAGATGTCAAAAGGGTCTTTCTCTCTGTCTCTCTCTCTCTCCCTCTCTCTCTTTCTGCCCTTGGTCTGCCAGTCTTCTTCCCCCACTCTCTTTCTTTCTCTCTATCTCTCTCTCTTTCTTCTCTCTCTCTCTTCCTCTCTCTCTCTCTCTTTCTCTCTTTCTGTCTCTTCCCCCCTCTCTCCCTCTCTCCGATCTTCTGCTCACCTGGCAAGCTGGCTTCAAGCTGTTCTCCAACAAGCTCAGGGTAGGCAACTGTGGCTCTTTTATGACTCATGGACCAACTCCCAGAATTTCTGAGTCAGCATCGCTGGGCTAGCTAGCTCTCTCCTGCCCTTCCTGCTTCCTGCTTCCTGCAGAGACGCAGCAAAGGGAGGAGCCCCACCCCAAAAGCTTTTCAGCTTGTCGGAGAACACTGTGAGTACACTCTCTTTTACACAAACACACAGAGACACAGAGAGAGACAGAGAGACAGAGAGAGAGAAGCAGGGAAGCGCAAGTGCCTCTCTCTGTCTCTGTCTCTCTCTGCAAATGGCAGAGGAGGCTGGGAGCCACAGGGAAGGCTCAAAGAGCTGCATGCGGCTCTGGAGCCGCAGGTTGCCGACCTGTGTCCTAACCCCTTCATATTGACTCTGAAGCAAAAATCTACATTCTCCCTGTTCCTGTTAGTTTATGCAGGGATTATAGCTATGGAAAGTTTTCTCTTTGTTTATCAACTTATGTTCCTGTTTGCTTAGAAAATACACGTAGTCCTTGACTTACAACCATTCATTTAGTGACTGTCTGAAGTTACAACAGCACTGAAAAAAGTGACGTCCGATTTTCACACTTCTGATGGTTGTAGTATCCCCACGGTCACATGATCAAAATTCAGATGCTCGGCAACTAGCTCATATCTATGACCGTGGCAGGTCATGTGATTACCTTTAGCAATGATCTGACAAAATCAGTGGGGAAGCCAGATTCACTTAACAACCATGTTACTAACTTAAAAACTGCAGTGATTCAATTAACCGCTGTCGCAAGGAAGCTCGTAAAATGGGCCAAAACTCATTTAACAACTGTCTTGCTTAGCAATGGAAATGTTGGGCTCAATTGTGATTGTAAATAGAGGACTACCTGTAAATATAGGGAGTGGGATTAAAGCAGGGGTCTTCAAACCTGGCCCTTTTATGACTTGTGGACTTCAACTCCCAGAATTCCTCAGCCAGGCACGCTGGCTGAGGAATTCTGGGAGTTGAAGTCCACAAGTCATAAAAGGGCCAGGTTTGAAGACCCCTGGGTTAAAAGGTTTTGGGTTCTTTTGTATTGTATCAAAAATACATCATATTATATCGTAACATGTCCATTTCCCTCCACTTTTTCCCCCCATGCATGCTGCTTATCAGAGGGGAGAACCAGCAGTAGGTGTAGAAGAGTGTGTGTGTTTGTGTGTGAAAAAACACCAGGAAAGTTAAGGGCTGCCTCCAGAACCAGGAAAACGTATAACTCTTTTCAAAGATTACTCCACTATTTATACTTATTCTTCAGAATCATGAAGGCTGTAGGGCAGTTTGAATACATCGAATATACAATGATGGCTCATTTTCTAGACAATGGGCATATAGAAAAATACCATGTCCCAGGTGAGAAAATAGCCTGATTTCCTCAAATCCTTAATCTTTTGTTTGCAGAGACATGGGATAATGCAGGTAGCAAAACATTCTTTCCTTCTGATGGAAGAATTTATCTTTGGAGACTCTCCTTAACTTGTTCTCTCTTGCTCTGGGTGAAGAAGTATATGGACAATTTTGAACCAAACAGAGGTCATCTTTTGATGAATTTGTGTACATGTGTTAAAAACACACCATCATCTTATTCTGCTGTCTTTAGAAATTGTGGACCTTCCTTGCCCCAAATCAAGAATGTAGAGTGCGAACTGTTCAGAGATGGCCTCTGTATCCTAGTTGACCTGAATGTAGGGTTCCTGACTTGAGGAGCACAGTCTACGAAGAAGCTGACATTTTTGCTACCAAAAATCATGGAAAAGAGGTGAATTGATCAGTGAATGGAGCAGCCACTGCCTGCTGCCCACCCTCCAAAGAGGAAATGAATAGAGAAATGGGAAATAAATAATACTGACCTGGGGAGTATAAATTCTATTCTATTCTGTTTTGTCTGCCAGTTAATGAGGACATCAAGAACATTCATTGAATGTTTGAAGACTAGCCACGCTCTGAGACTAGTAAGATACCACTGCACATTCTGTTGTTCCCAGACAGGTCTTTTGTCCTTATTGTGCTGGAATTGGTCCTCCAAGTGGTATTGAACTAAAAATTCTAGCAACCCAAATGAACATGGCTTATGGTGTAATCCAACAATACCTGGAAGACGTGTTTCCCCACCTTGTTCTGCCATATGATTCCCATCATGAAAACTATCATCTGAAATGTTTGAAGGGTGCCAGTTTAGGGAAAGCAGATGTATGGATTTCTTTGTGTGTGGTTTACAAAGTAAATGGCTGAGAGCCATTAATGCTATCAAGTCTCCATAGCGACTTTTGAATTCTGCCTTCAGCTGGTTGACTTCCCAGTCAGTTTTCATCGCTATTTAATTGAAGAACAGGAGAAAAGCAGTGGACTACAATGTCCTATGACCTATGCTTTAGAAAGAGGAACCTTTTTGTTCTTAAAGTCAGGTAGTGATGGTAGAGGTTCTGGATGGGATGTTCTTAACATAGGAGGTGAACCTCTACCGGTAGATAGTGAAATTTAATTCCCAGCAGCCCCACCTAAAGCATCCAGCTACATACGGAGGGCCAAATATATCAATTACATTGCCTTTAATCAATGTAATTCAGTTTTGCATCTAAAAAAATAACCCAGTCTCTATTTGGTGGCATAATTCATCAATTCATGAACATGTTTTCTTCATAATCTTCTAGGCGTTTTAAGTGCCCTTTTGCATCTCACCCAATGAGTTTCCCGATACTTGGAGAATTCTTCCTACATTTCCTCTCCTGGTTTCAAATATTATTGATAAGACGTTCTAGTCACTTTTTCTGGGCCGATACCCGAGTGCTTAATTAGCTCTAAAGCTGCTGCAAGAACCAGTTTTAGTACTTAGGGCAAAGGTCCCCAACCTTTGGGGCAACAGGACCGGTTCCCTGGAGAAAGGTTTTTCCACGGACCAGAGAGTGCATGATTTTGTGTGCTGCCTGCATCCCGCGGATGAGGCTTTACTTGTTTGTGTGGACCGGTTGGTGGCATGCCGTGGACTGGTACCGTCCACGGACTGGAGGTTGGGGACCCCTGTTCTAGGGCATGTTCAGAAGCACCCAACTTTTATGCAGACAAATGTTCCTATCCAAAGCTTCCATGAATAAACTCTTACGTACCTCTGCATCAATCCTTTGTTCTTGAAATCATCCAGATTTGGAAGTGGTCCTTTCCTTTCCAATAACAAGAATTGTACAGTTGATTATAACTGCTACTTGAACTGAGGAATTACCACAAGAGCCGAGAGAGATAAACATCCCCTTTAAAAACCTATCCTGGCAGCAGCTGGATTCTTTAGTAAGCCATTTGTGTTTCTAAAAATGGGCAGATCTGAAACCGGGTATATGAGACAGCAGACCAGCTTAAAAACTAAGCCATGAGCTTGACTTCAGAATACCAACAAGAAGCAGCCAATTCTTTCCTCTCCATTTGTCGGAAGTACCAACTGCAAGAACTGACCATTTAAAAATATTTTTAACAGTTTCATTCTTTTCGATCTCTTGCTTAATGAATCCATGTTTTTAATCTTCCCAACAGCCAGAGTTCTCTGGAGAAATTACAGAGCAGTTAAAAGCATACCCCACCCCTCCTTTTCTCAGTCCCAATGCTTGCAGGGTCTGCTATGAATAGATATGGGGAGGTGTTCCAGCTGGCTGTTCTTTTTCCAACCAGTTGAGGAATGCTGGGTCTTCATGCTGTGTCTCTTTTGGGTTGCTGTGTGACTTTTGTGCTGTTGAAGCTTTCTTGGGGGGGGGGGGAGGAAGCGGGAAGGATTGGAGGGAGAGAGGTTAATTGAGTGCTAGTTGCCATCTTGAGTGAAGACTTGTGATCCTGACTTCTGAATTAAAGCTTGTGGGCGTTTCCTTTATCCAGGACTTCTGATGCTCCTGAGTGTCATTGTTGGGCAGCCCTGTGTAGTAAGTAGGAGCACCTGGTAAGGTCTCACCTGCTGAGAAAGATCAACACTGGTAATGATGATGTTTTCCAGAAGAGCCAAGAAGTTGTATATGGGATCCTCTCTTAGGAAAGGTCTTTGATGTCCATCTTTTTTTGGATGGAGAAGAACAGAAAGCTCTTGCAGAAGAGATGGCTTCAAGACAATTGGGGAGGGGGATGTTTTCCAGCAGCTGCACAAGAGGAAGACACATTTCAGGGCAGGACATCAGGCTTAGTGCAGCCCCTAACTATGCCCAGTATTACTTTCTCTACCATAGCTCAGGGCAGAATAGTATTGCTGGTAGTAAAGCAATGCCATGACTCAGTAGAACAGGGGTGGGGAATGATGGCCCTTTTATGACTTCTGGACTTCAACTCCCAGAATCCCCAGAAGTTATAAAGGGGGCATCTTTCCCCACCTCTGCAGTAGAAGAACAGCTGCTTTGTAGTCTATGACAGCTCCATGTTCAATTATCAGCCTGTCCAGCTAAAGCTAAGGTAAGAGGTGATGAGGAGATCCCTTTCTCAAGAATCTGGAAAAACCGACTGCCAGCCAGAGAAGGTAATACCAGTCTAGGTGGGTCTTTACCATCGGAGCTAGTAAAGATCACCTGTCTGTCTATGTGACCTCAATCTTTGGAGCCCTAAATTGATGGAAGTTCTTTCCCCCAAGCTGTATAGTAATCATTGCCTCTTCTGCCACAACTGCTCTCTAGATTCCTACTTTTTTTTAACTCTGCACTGTAGCTGCCCATTACAGAGTCAGACTCCTGCGCTTAGTATTTGGAGTGCTACAGATTTGGCTGGGGAGGCTTTCTTAGATCAATCTGGAATTGAGTCTGGCGTCACCTTTGAGTTGCAACCATTCCTCAACATTGAAAAGACACGAGACCATTCTACAAAACTATGTTCTCCACCTTAGGCCCAAAGCCATCTGGGTGACCTCGAGCCAGGCCCTCCCTCTCAGCCCTAGGAAGAAGAAGAAGGAGGCAATGGCCAACCTCTTCTGAAACCTTGCCAAGAAAACCGCACAGGACCTATCCAGGCAGTTGCCAGGAGTCAACCTGACTCAAAGTCTGTAGATTCAAGATTGCTGGTGGATATACTTTGATTTTAATGATATCTACTCCCTGAAGCAGCGTTTCTCAACTTTGGCAACTTCCCCAGAAATGCTGGTTAAGGAATTCTAGGAGTTGGTCCACACATCTTAACGTAGCCAAGGTTGAGAATCAATGCTTCCCCAACCTTTTGGGCACCAGGGACCAGTTCTGTGGAGAGAGGTTTTTCCGCAGACTGGAAGGAGTGTGGATTTGTGTGCTGCCTGCATCTTGTGAATGGGGCTTTGCTTGTTTATGCGGACCGGTTGCTGACATGCTGCGGCCCGGTACTGGTCTATGGACCAGGGGTTGGGGACCCCTGCTTTAGGGAGTAGATACCACTAAAATCAAAGGGATTTGTATGCAGAATCAACACATGCAGGATGGTGCCCTAAGACCAGGTTAATATAAAACTGATATAACAAAACCAAAACGCTTTGATCTATAACATGCTATCTCTGAACAAACTATATGATGGCTCTGGGTGTTAAACTAGTTCACCCACTAAGGCCATTGACCCTGCAGCTCCTACTGTACAGGGAGAAGGTCAAAGAGGTCAAGACATTGGGTATAGTACATGTTTAAAAAGGAGGTTAGGGCTTTGATCACATGGTTGTGATTACTAACTTATTAATTGGGTATATCTAGTCTAATGAAAATGAGATAACATGATAGCAGTCTTCCAGTAACTGAGAGGCTGGTCACAGAGAAGAGGGGAGGGTCAACCTGTTTTCCAAAGCACCTGAAGGCAGGACAAGAAGCAATGGATAGAAACTAATCAAGGAGAGAAGCAACCTAGAACTAAGGAGAAATTTCCTGACAGTGGGAACAATTAACCAGTGGAATGGGTTGCCTCCAGAAGTTGTGGGTGCTCCAACACTGGAAATTTTTAAGAAGAGATTGGACAACAATTTGTCTGAAATGGTATAGCCTCTCCTGTTTGAGCAGGGGGTTGGACAGGCCCCTTCCAACTGTCCTAGACTTTTTTGAGGAAGTGCACTTCTTGTGTTCCAACTATTGCAAGTTTCTCTGTTTTGCAGATACAGGTCCTGTTTTTAGCAAACTCAAGAGGAGGAGATTTTGTGGGCATGTAAACTAACTAGCTTAAGATTCCCCATTGTATTCTGGCCTGGTGAAGTGTTTTTCCTTCCTTTTATGTTCATTTGCTCCATCGCATTAGGATCTAAAGACTGATCTCCAGGGAGGTGTCTTGATGTACATCGTTTTGGCTGGAAGACCACTTGAAGAAGAGGCCTATTTGGCCATGTTTGGAAGCCAGGACATTCTCTTTCCATCTGATGGAACTTCTGAAGGAGATAATCCAAAAAATCCGAACCTCAGCACCCTGTTACCAAGCCCATGGTGCTTGGCTTGGATGTACAATATGGCTCCTCTAGACTTGATGCAGAAGAATATACAGTATAAATGACTATCCACAAGACCAAACTTTGAGCTGCAGGAAACTTCATCTGCTTGACTGTGGATGTATGTAACTCAGATTAAGAATCTCTTCAACCAACTGGGCTTTTTCTTTATAGGCTTTCTTTATTGTAATTATTATTCTTCTAAGCTCACAAAAAGCCTTTTATCTCTTTCTTGATACAATGGATCAAGCCCTGACTTTGCATCTTAAGAATTTACGTTAACCTTTGAATTCTTTTTTTCTGATCTTTTTTATTTCTTTCCTGGTGTTGTAAGCAGTGCTACAACAGAACAATATATATAGTTCATGCATTTGCAGATTAAGTTGCTAATCCTTTTTTTTTTAAATGCCTGGCAGCCCTAAGGATTAGCAAAATGATCTGCTAGTTTTAGTTACGATTTCAG